TGAAGTGGCATGGCTCACTGCAGCCTTAAACTCCTGGTCTCTGCCTGCCAAGTAGCCGGGACTACAGGTGTGTACTACCACATCCGGCTAATTACTTCTATGTTTTGTAGAGATGGGGTCTTGCTGTGTTGCCTAGGCTGGTCTTGAACTCCTGGCCTCAAGTCCTTCCAGCCTCAGCCTCCCAAAGTGCTGGGATTACAGGCGTGAGCCACCATGCCCAGTCTGGTCTGACCTTCTGGCGTCCATGCCAAATACGTCATTCTCATCAATTCACTGATGCTGTTGTCCACTTCCTCCCAGGCGTAGCTCAGACTCACAAGATGATTTCAGAATCTGCAGAATATTCTTCCTCTTCTCTGTTTCTTCCTCAGCAATTTCAGTGTCCTTGCTGACAAGTTCCTTGCCCCCTGAGACTCCAAAGACCTCCCTCTCCTAGCCACACCAGCCCCAATGGGCCAACAACGCTCCAGACCTCTGTCCCAGGGGTTTCCCTTCCTTGTCACAGCTTCCTTACCTGCCTCTCCCACTTGACTTCTTTCTACCCTTTCTTAGACCACTCTGCTTCGCTTTGTCTGCTAGTTCTGCTCAGACTAAAGCACGGGCACTGGAGTTAAACTCAGGCTGTGCCATTATCACCTGGCAGGTTCTTTCACCCCCCGAGCCTTGTTCATAATTCCTCCGTGGGAGGGCTGGGGCCGGCTCCTCCTCATCCTTTCTGCTTTCCCTACCTTCACCTCCTTGGGGTGACCAGCCATTCCATTTCTCTCCCCATAAGGTACTGTCTCATCACCCCATTTATTTCTGTTTATTAATTGACCTCCTACTAAGTGCCAGGTGCAGTTCTAGGCAATGGGAACACAACATGAACAAAACGGACTAAAATCTCTGCCTTGGGGAGCTGGCATGTAGGAGGAATCCAGCAACCAACATATTAACTCATGGCAGAATGAACATCTAACCCTCAAATGCCCAAAGAGAATCTTGTTTTCTGTTCAGTATAACATAGAAGGATGAAGATTAAGAGCAGGAAGTCTGGAGTCAGAAAGACCCAGTTCAAGCCTAATCTCTGCCTTTTTTTTTTTTGAGACACAGTCTCTCTTTGTTGCCCAGGCTGGAGTGCAGTGGTGCAACTTCGGCTCACTGCAACCTCCACTTCCCGGGTTCAAGGGATTCTCCTGCCTCAGCCTCCTGAGTAGCTGCAATTATAGGCATGCACCACCACACCTGGGTAATTTTTGTATTTTTAGTAGAGACAGGGTTTCACCACGTTGGACAGGCTGGTCTCGAACTCCTGGCCTCAGGTGGTCTGCCCGCCTCAGCCTCCCAGAGTGCTGGGATTACAGGCGTGAGCCACTGGGCCCGGCCTAATCTCTGCCATTTAACATGAACATGAGCAGCATCTCTCTGAGCCTGTCTCCTCATGGGTGAAATGGAGATACTGGAAATGTCTCACAGTGTTGTTGAGGATTAGATGATATCATCACACATGAAAATCATTCCGCGCACGTCTTCCCAGATGTCATGTATGAAACAGGTTTGATATATAATGGAACAAGGAAGGAATTATTGTCCTTTGCTGACACCTTCCCTTCTTGCTTTTGAAGCCACAAAACCATTTGGCTATTCTGGCCAACAAGAATCTCTTCCTTTTCAGAAACACTTTTTATACTTATATGTCAGCATATAAGTTTTGTGATTAGCTTTTTTTGTCACTTCATTTTATCTCCTATTTATTTTGCATTTTTAGTTTTGTTTTCTTAACTAGATCATAAACTTCTAGTCAAGGGGGTCATGTTTTATGTTTTACTTGTATCTACTTCTGTATCCCAACAACCTATCCCAGGATGAGGAAATCAGGAAGCTTTTGTTGATGAGTTGACATTACCACCTGGAAGGTGAAACCTGTCAGATGAGGAAAGTGGGCAGAGGGAACTTGGGTCTGGAAGCTTTGGGAAAGGCGGTGGCAGGAAGGAATGTAGAAACAAAGTGGGGGGCAGTTCATCCATGGGCTCTGGCTCCCCATTCAAACTAGGCGTCCTGTTGAGCTGCCTTTACCTCTGTCTTTCCCATTCTGCATCTTCTCCTCTTCTTCCTCTGCACCTTCCTCTGCTGTGAAAACAAGTCCAAGGAGGCCAGTGACCCTTCAGCACAGTGCAAGTACAGAAGGACGGGGAACAAAGCAACTGCTGAGGCTCGGGAGGAAACCCTAGCTAAGCTCCTGGCTGCAGGCCCCCAAGGGTGCCTCCGCTCCGCAGTCTGCACCTGCGTGGCCCACGCCCAGCACTGCTGAATAGGAGCCGGTGAGCCGGGAGCCCACAGGGAGCAATGCAGTCACATCACTCAGTTTCCTGACCGGGCAGGGGTCGGGGGGCGTGTGCCTCTGTTCTATGCCTGTCTGTCCTCAGGTGGTGACAACCAGAGAGACGTCTAATGTCCTGTATTCAGGTTTAAGAAAGCAACCCTAAAATATATTGTGGGGAATACCTAGATCACCACGGGGTTCTGTAACAAAAAAAAAAAAAAAATCCAGGTGTTTTAGTGGATGATAAACATACAGTGACCACACAGTGCAGAGTGGCTATGTGGGAAACACTAATGCTGTCTAAGGCGCTTTTCCAGGCGCCCACTCCAGAGTGTCACAGACGCCCTGTGGTCTGCAGGGAAAGGAGTCCCCGTGATGGAGAGCAGGGTGCCCAGCCCTGGGTGTGCACTTTAAATAGGGGCCTTGGAAAATGGCCACATCCTGGTGTGATCAAGCAGGCTGGGAAGAGTAAACCATGTCATGTTTGGGAAGGCTGAAGAATTGGGTGTAGCTGTCTAAAGAGAAGTCTAGGGAGGGTCATGTCATCTGCCATCCAACCCATGAAAGGCGAGCCTGTAGAGGAGCCACTGGGCTCATCCTGGGTAGCCTTAGAGGAGGGGACAGGATAAATCGGTTACAGAAAGGCAGATTTTGGCTCCCCACTAAGAGAACTTTCCAGTGACTAGAGTTGGTTATGAATGAACTCGCTGGAAATACTCAGGGAACTGTTGTACTGGGTGGCAAGTTGGATTAAATGACTTCTAAGATCCTGTCCAATTCTTTTTTTTTTTTTGAGATGAAGTTTCGCTGTTGTCACCCAGGCTGGAGTGCTCATTGGAACCTCCACATCCTGAATTCAAGCGATTCTCCTGTCTCAGCCTCCTGAGTAGTTGGGATTACAGGCTCCCACCACCACACCTGGCTAATGTTGTATTTTTAGTAGAGATGGGTTTTCACCATGTTGGTCAGGATGGTCTCGAACCCCTGACCTTAGGTGATCCACCCACCTCAGCTTCCCAGTGCTGGGATTATAGGTGTGAGCCACCACGCTGGCCTTGATTCTTTCCAATTCTAGGATTCCATTATTCCATTATAAAAAAACTTTATAAATATGAGGAGTACAAGCTATGTATATATACTGTGTATACACTGTATAGAATATATGTAAAGATAATCTTAATATGTCCTCTCACTGGAACAAAAACCTGTAGTCACGGTCAAGGAGATAGTAAAGACATGTTGGTGTTGGGTGAAGCTGTTCCATTCATTGAGAGACTGGCACCCTCACATGTAAAGGGCGTCTGTGTCTGCATGTTAGAGCATACTCTGCCACGTGTGGCTGTGGTCCATGTCTACCTACAGGCTTCAGTGACTGGGAGGACAGCATGAGGGAAAGGGGCCTCGTGGGACTCTGGCTTTGATGTCTTGTCCTGGAGGGGAGTAAGATCTCTGGCTTAATGCTCTGAAGACCCAGTTCTTCTCTGAATTCCCAATTCAAGCTGCACAACCTCAGGCAGACCACTTTCCTAAGAAGCACACGCTACATTTCTACAGTAAGGGACTGGACGATATGCTCTCTAAGGTACCTTCCATATTACACTACATCATTTTGTTGAAACCGTCCTCTCCTACAATGAGAGACTGCTGAGTATTCCTTTCAACTTTTAATTTTTGTGAAGGTATTTGGTCTCTATGTGCCTTATGGTATTTGATGACCTCTCACCCTAGAACGACGAGCGCAGACGCCACTTATTTTGCATAAACTCTAATAAGTGGCCATGAGGTACATGGTTAATTTCCATGGCCCAAAATTCCCTAAGAAATTTCCTCTAAAAGTGGGATTTCTGGTATCTGTTGGAGCTCTGTTAGGGAAAGTGCCTTCCAGTCACCTGTGAGCTCACCCTGAAGGCTGTCACCTGTTGTGTTTATGTGTGTGGAGGGGGCTGTACTTCTGATAGGGGCTGAGAAACGGTGCTAGAACAGAGAGGGTGGCACCATCAAACAGGAGAAGCAGCATCTGACCTCGACTGGAAAGACCAGCGTGGGCCACACACTCCTTTTTGTCTGTATGAAAAGAGGCCAACTTGAGAGCAGAGCTGGGGCCCTGGCTGGTCCCATGACGACCCTAACCTTGTGTGCCTTATCCTACGAAGGGCTGAAAAATGCCCAAGGCTTGCCTTCCCTGAGAGTGTTTGAATAAGTGTCTGTGTTTGAATGGTCCATGGAAAAACTGCCTTACATTTTTATTTAAGAACCCTGTTAAGCTAATTCAAAGGTATTTAAAAGCGCTACATTAGGTGGAAAGAAACAAAGGAGAGCCATCAGTGTGAGTGACCCGCTTAGGAAGGGAAACCACTAGTTTAACACAAAATGCGGAAACCCCACCGCTGTGGAATCATTAGTGATTCCTGGAGATAGGGTGATACGGTAATGGCCTTTTACTTTCTCTCTCTTTCCTGGTTTTTATGTAAGGTGATATGCCCCGAGGTAAAGGTCTTTGGGAAGTCACTGAAGTGGCGAAGTGATGGAGAGACTGAGAAAGAAGTCACAGGGCCGGGTGTGGTGGCTCATGCCTGTAATCCAAACGCTTTGGAGGCCAAGGCGGGCGGATCACCTGAGGTTGGGAGTTCAAGACCAGCCTGGCCAACATGGTGAAACCCCGTCTTAATTACAAATAAAAAATAAAAAAATAAAAATAAATAAAAAAGAAGTCACAGATGAGCAGAACACAAGGTGCAGAAGAGGCGACAGACTCAGGTCATGAACTTCAGGTGAAATCAGAGCCTGGTCACGGACAAAAGGAGGGAATAGGTTTCAAAACCAAATGAAACAGGAGAGAGCAGAAAGGCAGCAGGGGAAGGTCCAGAGCTTTCCTGGCTGATTCGGCTCCAGACCTCCAGGGAAGCTTCAGAATGAGACGGTCGGTCAGGCCTAGGGAGAGAGCGGCTGTGGACGAAGCACAGACGGAAGATGAGTTAAGTAAGGAAGGAGCCTGACTGCACCTAAAGGTCTGGATTTCTCTAAATTCAGCTCGCTCCACAAGATGACTCCTAAGATAAGCCTGAATGTGCAATCGCCCCTATGCGATCCTGTGTGAGAGGCTCCCTGGGTGGAGACATCCAGTGTGTTCCTAGAAGGCAAAGTTGGGTGGTGAGATGGGGTGGTGTGAGCTGGGTGGTGAGGTTCTGCCAGTGCTGGTGGCGAGGAAGTGAGAAGGGCATGGGCAAGGAAGGGGAGGCCGGGAAGCTGGGTGGGAGCTCTGGGTTTCACCTGAATGGAGCTCCTTCACCAGGGATGACATGGTGTTGGTGATGGAGTCAGCTGCCACCAGCAGGTCATTGCGGAGGTTTCTCCTCGTACCTGAGGAGAGGCAGAGCAGATGGGGATGCAGTGTGGGTGGGCATGGGGAAGAGATGGTCAGGCAAACGCCTCAGTTCTGCCAGGCCCGAGGACACAGGTGTGGAATACCTAAGGGGAGATGGGGCCGCAGCAGCTCCACCCACTCCCAGGCACGTCGGGGACAGGAGGCACTGATCCACTGGTCCCCATCCCTCTGCCCTCTCCACCTGGGCAGCAGTATCCCGTCAGTTCCACGCTTTGGGGTCACCACACAATCAAGAGCTGGGTTCCAGATAAGCAACCCACCAAGGTCTTCCTCAGCCCTGGGGGCGGGGGGCTCTACTCTCCACCACTACCACCTCCCCTTCTCATCCCCAGCCCCCGCAGGACTTCCCTCTGAACCCCTACCCAACTACTTAATACTGCTGGCCACCAGCTCCTCCGATGGCCCCGGCAATGCCATGCACACTGTGCTTTCAGCACGGTCCCAGGTACAGTGCCTGTTACAGTCCCTTCTAGGCCAGGAAATTATTCCATCCAATTCCTCTGGAGGAGACAAAGCCCAAAGGACAAAGCACTTCCCATAATCCAGAAAAAAGGGCAGAGAACCCCAGGAGGCCTGTTCTTGGCACACATTGGAAGCCTGCAGCCCTCCCGCTGGAGACCAGCCCGTCTCATGAGAGGGGGCCAGCACCTGACTTATTTACACTATCGGTGAAAATCTGATCACTCAAAGCTAAGAGCACAGAAAAGAAATGGAAAAAGCCTCAGCAGGAATCTCATCCATGTTTCCAAAACCCTTCAGCTCTCAGCAAACTCTGCTCCAGAAACTCACCTTGTGCGAAGGCCTCCTGCACGTCCCCCCCGACTCCGCTTAGCGAGTCCTGTGGACAGTGGGTGGGGGTGGAGCCGGCAGACGTGGAGCGGACAGGCATGGGCATCGGGCGGCTGCCTCCGTGGGTGGGCGATGTATGTGGTGACCCTGTGGCCTGAGCCTGGAGATTCAAAGAGAAAATACGTTATCGCAAGTACCTGACCTCTTTGAGGAAGGAAGAAAGTCGTTTTTCTCCATCAACTGGAGCCAGCCAACGGGCCTCAGAGTTCAGTGGTACAAGATCATATTTGAAAGGAAGGAGTCAGGCTGCCTCCAAGACTGCAGAGAAGAAGAAAAGAAAAAAAGGAAGAGGGCGTGAAGGGCAGTTGGTGGGAGAACATCACAAGAACAGACCAAGAATGGCAGGGAAAGAAGAGGCTGGCACAGAGGGGCAGAGGGCTCTCAGGAAGACACAGTGAGCTGCGTAGCTGGGCCAGGCTGTAGAAGGGCTTGGCTTCCAGAGTGGAAAGTGACACACAAACGACTTTCATTTTATTTGCAAACACATTCATGTACACCTTCTCATTTGACAGCCCCAGCAACCTGTGAGTGGAAAGGGCGTATGCGTGTGTGTGTGTGTGTGTTTGTGTGTGTGTGTGTGTGTGTGTGTGTGTACGTATTTATATGTGTATATATATCTTTTTTGGAGACAGAGTCTTGCTTTGTTGCCCAGGCTGGAGTGCAGTGGTGCGATCTCAGCTCACTGTAACTTCCACCTGCCGGGTTCAAGAGATTCTCCTGCCTCAACCTCCTGAGTAGCTAGGATTACAGGCATGTACCACCACAGTGGGCTTTTTTGTATTTTTAGTAGAGACGAGGTTTCACCATGTTGCCCAGGCTGGTCTTGAACTCCTGGGCTCAGGCAATCTGCCCACCTTGGGCTCCCAAAGTACTAGACTTACAGGCTTGAGCCACCACGCCAGGCCAGGGCATATATTTTTATATCCATTTTATAGAAGGAGAAGAATGGAAAGAGTGAGAGCGTTGTATCAGGCCACACAGTTTGCCAGTGGGAGGCATGGGAAGAAGCTCTTGACTCCGGGGGTGGCAGTGCACACTCTGTAGGCTGCGCCCCCACTTCCCCAGGGCATGCTCTGAGTGTGTGGGAAGCTCAGCTGCAGGGCTGCAAGCAGGGCCTGCCACACGCACTGTACATGCACAGCAAGGCTGTCCAGGGCTGCCCCATGGAGACAAGGTAAGAAAAGTCGCGTGGTAAGCAGACACCAAGCTTTCTTTGGGAGGCCCTGGTAGAGTTGTGGAGAAAGTTTGGAGCAATGGGATAAAATAAATAAATAGGAGAAAAGTGATCAAGGGCCGCTGAAAGAGATGTGGGCTCCGCAGCTCTTCAGAACGATAGGAACAGCGTGTGGAAGGTAGACTAGGGTTTTTTGTGGAAGCAAAACTGGAAAAAATATAAGCCAAAGTGTGAGACTGAGTTCAAATGAAGATAGTTATCCTTCTGGGGATCCAGCTCAGAAACCCCACATACAGACAAAATTGGCCCTGAACAGGTGGAAAGGCTGGATGCACGACATCCCAATGCAGTGCTTCAACGGTGTGGCCGCCGAACGCAACAGAAATGGATTTTCTCTGTGGTTCTCACTTTGAATCGTGTGTGTGTGTGTGTGTGTGTGTGTGTGTGTGTGTGTGTGTATGCGTGTGTATTTTGAGAAGTTAAAAAAAATACAGAATACTAAAAAGTATAACATAATAAACCACCCACCCCAAATTGGTAACTGTTCATATTGTCAAATGTATTTCAATCTAAGAAGATTGCAGAGAAATCTGAGGACCGCTTTGACCATCAGTTCTTTCCTCTCATCCCTGCAGAGGCAACCATTATCAAAGATTTTGGTGTGAAACTTTTAACCTATATGTGCATATATAACTATGAATAATAAATAATATTTCATGCTTTTAAATTTTGCATGAATGATATTGTACTGCTCATATCACTTTGCAATTTGCTTTGGTCACTTAGCATGCTTTCTGAGATCTTTCCATGATACAAATAAATATGAACTAAATCAAAATGGATCATAGTAACTACAAGAGCTAAAACGAAAATGGATCATAGTAACTATAAGAGCTAAAACTATAAAACGTCTCAAAGAAAACACCAGAAAATTCTATGACCTCGGATTAGGCAAAGATTTCTTAGATATCACACCCAAACAATGATATGTAACAACAAAACAGATAAACTGGCTTTCATTGAAATTTTAAGAAGTGGTGTGATCTCGGCTCACTGCAACCTCCATCCCCCAGGTGCAACTGATTCTCCTCCTTCAGCCTCCCGAGTAGCTGGGATTACAGTTGCGTGCCACCATGCCCAGCTACTCTTGTATTTCTAGTAGAGACAGGGTTTCACCATGTTGGCCAGGCTGGTCTCGAACTCCTGACTTCAGGTGATCCACCCACCTCACCCTCTCAAAGTACAAGGATTGAAGGCGTGAGCCACTGAGCCCAGCCAAACTTCTGCTTTTCAAAAGGTACCATTAAACAACTATGGACAAATCAATTCAGAATGAATCAATAACTTAAACATAAGAGCTGAAACTATAACATTCTTAGAAGAAAACATAGGGGAAGGCTTTTAATCTTGGATTAGGCAATAACTTTTTAGATATGACATCAAAAGCCCAAGCTATGAAAGAAAAACTAGACACAGTGAACATTATCAAAAGTAAAACTTTTGTGCTTTGAAGAATACCATCAAGAAGGTAAAAGTCAACCCCCAAAAAGGGAGAAAATGTTTGTAGATTATATATGATACATGATCTATATCTAAAATATATAAAGAACTCTTACAACTCAATAATAAAAGGACAAATAATATTTTTAAATGGGCAAAGGATCTGAATAGACATTCCTCCAAAGACATATAAATGTCCAATAAGTACATGGAAAGATGCTCAGTATTATTAGACATTAGGGAAATGCAAATCAAAACTACAATGAGACACCACTGCACACCCGCAAGGATGGCTATAATAAAAAAGACAAGTGGGGCACGAATGTGGAGAAATTAGAATCCTAATATACTGCTGATAGAAATGTAAAATGGCCATCAAACAAGTCTAAGTAAATTTAAGAAAACCAAAGTTATATCTAGTACTCTATCAAACCACACTAGAATAAAATTGGAAATCAACTCCAAAAGGAACCCTCAAAACCAGGTAAATACATGGAAATTAAATAATCTGCTCCTGAATGATTGTTGGGTCAACAATGAAATCAAGATGGAAATTTAAAAATTCTTTGAACTGAATAACAGTGACAAAACCTATCAAAACCCCTGGGATACGGAAAAAGGGGTGCTAAGAGTAGAGTTCATAGCGTTAAATGCCTACATCAAAAAGTCTGACAGAGCACAAATAGACAATCTAAGGTCATACCTCACAGAACTGGAGAAACAAGAACAATCCAAACCCAAACCCAGCAGAAGAGAAATAACGAAGATTGGAGCAGAACTAAATGAAATTGAAATACACACAGTAAAAATACAGAAGATTAATGAAACAGGCTGGGTGCAGTGGCTCACGCTTGTAATCCCAGAACTTTGGGAGGCTGAGGGGTGGCTTACTTGAGGTCAGGAGTTCGAGACCAGCCTGGCAAACATGGTGAAACCTGTCTTTACTGAAAATACAAAAATTATCACGGTGTGGTGGTGGGTGCCTGTAATCCCAGCTACTTGGGAGGCTGAGGCAGGAGAATCTCTTGAACCTGGGAGGTGAAGGTTGTAGTGAGCTGAGATTGCACCACTGCACTCCAGCCTGGGTGACAGAGGGAGACTCTGTCTCTAAAATAAATAAATAAATGAACCCCAAAGCTGGTTCTTTGAAAAGATAAAATTGATAGACCACTAACAAGACTAACCAAGAAAAGAAGAGAGAACATCCAAATAAGCTCAATTAGAAATGAAACAGGAGATATTACTACTGATACCACAGAAGTACAAAAGATTATTTAAAGCTACCATGAACATCTTTACATGCATAAACTAGAAAACCTACACTGAGCATGGTGACTCACGCCTGTAATCCCAGTGCTTTGGGAAGCCGAGGTGGGCGGATCGTGAGGTCACGAGTTTGAGACCAGCCTGGCCAACACGGTGAAACTCTGTCTCTACTAAAAATACAAAAATTAGCTGGGTGTGGTGGTGGGTGCCTGTAATCCCAGCTACTCAGGAGGCTGAGGCAGAATTGCTTGAACCCGGGAGGCGGAGGTTGCAGTGAGCCAAGACTGGGCCACTGCCCTCCAGCTTGGGTGACAGAGCAAGACTCCATTTAAAAAAAAAAAAATCTAGAGGAGATGGATAAATTCCTGGAAATATACAACCCTCCTAGATTAAACCAGGAAGATACAGAATCTCTTAACAGACCAATAATAAGCAGCATGATTGAAATGGTAATCAAAAAAAATTCCAAAAAAAAAAGTCCAGGACCAGATGGATTCACAGCTGAACTCTTATCAGACATTGAAAGAAAAATTGGTACCAATCCTATTGATACTATTCCAAAGGATGGAAAAAGAGGGAATCCTGCATAAATCATTCTATGAAGTCAGTATCATCCTAATGCCAAAACCAGGGAAGGACAAAACAAAACGAAAGCTACAGACCAATATCCCAGATGCAAAAATCCTCAACAAAATACTACTGAACCAAATCCAACAGCATCATCAAAAAGATAATCTACCATGATCACGTGGGTTTCATACTAGGGACGCAGGGATGGTTTAACATATGTAAGTCAATAAATGTTATATACCACATAAACAGAATTTAAAACAAAAATCACATGATCATTTCAATAAATGCAGAAAAAGCACTTGACAAAATCCAGCATCCCTTTTTGAGTAAAACTGTTAGCAAAATTGGCATAGAAGGAATTTTAATGTAATAAAATTTTAATGTAATAAAAGCCATCTATGACAAATCCACAGCCAACATTATACTGAGCAGGGAAAAGTTGAGAGCATTTCCCCTGAGAACTGGAGCAAGACAAGGATGCCCACTTTCACCACTTCTATCCAACATGGTACTAGAAGTCCTAGCCAGAGCAATCAGACAAGAGAAAGAAATAAAGGGCATCCAAATTGATATAGAGGAAGTCAAAC